GGAAATGTTTCATTGCATGGGAGGGGTGGATTTAAAATTACTCTCTGCCCTCAAATGCCATATTTTATCTTGGATACATCATTGACACACTCTGTTTATTTCATCAAATCTCTTTGGAGATTGCTTGCTTTCTCTCACTTGCAATCACACACACACACCCCCTCCACACACACACACAGAATAGAAAGCTATTTTAATTTTTTCTTTTCTTTTACACCCAGCAAATTGTTCTTTTTTTTTTTCTGTAGGCTTATATTTTTTAATTAATGATATGTGATCTGAATTCATTAGTTATTACATTATTAATTTTTGTATCCAAGGCACCAATACACAGTGCCCAAAGTAACCAGACAGCCATGCTTGGTGAATTAATTAGTGAAATATTTGTCAAGGAAGGCTTCATATTTCATCCCTAGACTGTTGAAACTTACAGTATTAAAAGCTTCTCATCAATTCTAGCCATTGCAAATTATGTTATTTATTTTGACTTAGGGTCCTGAAGTCATCCATCAATATCTTGATCACCATATTAAAAAAACTGAACCCACTTGATGAAATATAAATATGTGTGTCCCACTATTAGTTTAGAGGAAAGTATTGCATTCTTGGGTCAATTCTTCACATAGAATTTTTCCCCATTCTACATGCACAATATAATTTCTTTATACAGAAAATATTTCCACATTTACATGTTTCTAATTTGGGTATTTTTATATATAAACAGCATGTTATAAAATTTTTATAAAGCTTCATTGCTTACGACTTAAAAGTGACTACTTGGAAAGGTTTTGTTTTATTATTTTTAAAGGAAATTCATACTTGCTTAGTTTAAGAAATCACATACACAACTTCCCTAGTGACTTTGATTTTTCTAAAATAACTGCAAGTATCAATCAATCAATCGATGTATATTTATTGACCTGCTCTATTTACCAAGACTATTTGGTGCTGACTGTTCTAATCTATTTGATCTTGAATCATTGCTTTATTCAGCAGCAGATACTTAATAATACTGGCAACATATTTCATTTGTTTTTATTTATTTATAATTATCTTTTAGTGTTTCTGTTTGACCAATATTATTTTTTCATGCAATTTAGAGTGTTGAATTCTTTAGGAATTATAGTTATTCCTCATCTACTATTAATCCTATGCTATCTCCAGTAATGTATTTTTCCCTTTGCATTCTTTTTTCCCCCAATATTTTTTGAATGTTTAATTTGTGTTTTAGCCATATATATATATATATATATATATATATATATATATATATGTCTGGTCTATAATGCTTCTCTTAATTTTTAAGAAATAATATCTTCCTTTAAAAAATGTGTTAAAGACAGAGCTCACAGAACCAAATATGTTTTCTTTATTTCCCCATAACATAATAATTTTTGTCCACTTCAAACGGAAAGATTTGCTATACTGTGTTTGGTGCAGCAGGAGTTAAATCATAATGCTTCAAGACTCCTCCTAGACTATAAAGTTTTAATGCTTTACCCTGTGCCTTATTTATTCCTAATATTAACATAATAAGAAGTTTTCTTCTTAAATATCAGAGAGGAAGTTCTACTTTGTACAATGCCACATTCTTCATCTTGTAGATCAACTTCAAACAAGCAGTACCACAATTAGTCTAGTCTGCTCTCTCATTTTTGTTTTGAATTTCTTCTACTGAGGAAAATGCTACACCAGCATTTTATATTTTTATTAGAATTCATTTTGGATGCCACTATGCAGATAAATTAATCTGTATAGTTGAATAATCATCCAAATAGCTTAATCAAAAGAAGTGATCTTGATCAGACATCATGGAAGTTTTGAAGGTGGAAGGATCCTTAGGGCCCATACAGTTCAATGACCTCATGTACTACAGATGATAACACTGAGCCCAGGAAGAGACTTGCCCAACTTCAGGGAACCAAATCCAGTTCTCCAATACTCTTTCCATTTCATCTCACTAGCTTCAGCTTTTTAAAACCTATTTAACCCTTTTTTCCCCCTAAGAGTTGCTTATTTTAATCCCCCCTCCCCCCCAAAAAAATATGGATGAAATGGCTTCTATCGTCTATTATGAGAATTCTGCCATTCTTCCATTCTGATTTGGTGGCATAGCATGTGTTCTCTTGCTCATGTATCAACATAAATTGTGTTCTTTCATTATTTCTATTGTTTTACTGCTGCCCCACAAAACAAGAGAAAGAGAAGTTAAGGGGAAACCGCTATAGCTACTGGACTACATCCTCTATTGACTTCTGTAAAATTATTTCTTTCCAGGTAAATATATCTTTACTTTTCCTCAATAAAACAGTTGGAGCTATAAATAAAATGGTTTAGAGATATTTGCAACCCCCATGTGGCCTTGTACATTGTGCTTAATACATTCCTGCTGAATTATTATTTTGGCCATTCATTAAGCCAAGTCGTCATTGAGAACTGCATGGCTAAGAAAAGCATAAACCCAAATATAGCAAGAGCTATCCCATAATAGTGCTGTGGACACACCTTAAAGGAGCTTTTTTGTACATACAGATACTAGGAAAATATCCTTCCTTACTCTTTTCCTACCCCTCTATCCCTGTCTTCCTTATACACATTTTTCAGCTCACTCAACTCATTCATTACTCTATTAGTTACATTTCCAAATTCAAATTTGACTATTTCTTAAGCTTACCCCAATGTTATCTGCACTGTGATGATGAACTCTCTTCCTTGCACAAAGGCACTCTTACAATCAAATGTACCTTGGGATTTGATGCAGAAACTTCTTTTATGACTATAATTGTTAGAAACCTACACATTAAAGGATCAATGATCCATAAGCTTCATACTTGCCCAAGAGACAGTCAATAGTTAAACATTTTAAGAAATTCAAAGACCTAAACAAAATTAATAGACTGGAGAGTTTAGAAACATGCTGTGAACCAATGTTTTAGAAACAATTCACTATGTAAAAATTAAATTAGTTTAACTACAAAATTTACAAAAGCAGTATTTTCCCTTAACCATATAACTCCCAGTGAAATGCAATGAAAATATCAGTATCTTATACTGATGCCTGGTACACATTTGTAGGTGATTCTTTGATCCTCTATTCATCAACTTTGGATATTAACAACATTCAATTTCCTTAGTCATTAAACATGTTTTTAATGGTCAGAGGTTTAGGAATGGAAGACAGTTCACAGTTCTCATTGTTTGATTTGCTATGTTAGATAAATGAAATAAATTCTAAAGACTAGAAAATTCCACAATAGACTGGCAGTGCCTAGCAGCACATCCATCAAGCAAATTCAATCAGAAGTTGACCTGATCGTGACCAGTTTCCCCCATTAGCTACAAAAACTTTAAGAATTCAAAAACCATAGAGTTTTAACGATAGTCTCGCTCAACTCCTTAATTTTACAAATGAGAATGCACAGACCACAAAAGTTGTGTGACTTGCAGCAGCCAAGAATTAAGAGTACAGATCCAGCTGGGATGTCTTCACTGCTCTGGAGTAATGGATGCTCTCAACTCCAAGAGTTCATAGAACATGGAATGGCACCCTTGGGATCAAACCAAAAGAGACTGTTATATTGGTTAATTCAATCAACAATCAATCAACAAGCACTCATCAGTTGCCTGCCAATTAAATACAACTCAGAGATATTACCTTGTTTCTTTAAAAGTCCAACTGCATGAAAAGAGGTTCATTGAGGTGATGAACAAAGACCTTCACAGCAGGGAGGACAGACACTGAGTTAAATGTTAAAAACAAATCAGCAGGCACACAAATTAAAAATAAAATTTTTATAACAAAAAATAAATCAGGTTTTGTTTAAAAGAAACCAGAATCTGGCAAGTAAGTCCTATAATGGTATTTCTTCACCGAACCAGAGTTCACTACCACCAGGTCTTTGTTATTATTCCTAAACCATTCATAAATATAAGACCTCCTGAAAATACAGAAAATTGATAACATCTGTTTGAAAAAGAAAAAAAAAACATATTCTAATATAGAAATGAGGTAGAATTAACCATTTGACTACTTTATAAAAGTTTTTCTTTGTTAATTCATAGAAACTGCCTGTGTGCAAAGTAAACGAGCAAGGGTTATGTTCATTTTATTTACCCTAGTTTGGTTAAATTGTTGCTAGCATAATGTGTGGAACTAACTTTTAAATCTCGATGAACTGTTGCCTTTAATGATTAAAAAAAGAAAAAAAGTTCTGGGTTTTTTTTTTTTTTTTTTTTGATCCTAATCTTGGTCTTTGCAAAGCCCTTTACAAACTGCCAACTTCAGCTGGTTGGGTTTGAAGTGCGTGACCGGCGAGGTCTGGGAGATCTCCAATCTTGTCCACGGCCACTTAGGTCCGAGCTTGCCCAGGGCACAGATTTCCTTACTGCACTTTCCTTTTATAATCAATAGATATATATTTTTTTTAATCTGTAAATGGAAAGCCAGTCTAAGATCTGGGAGTCAGTGTTTGTGATAACCTACAAACCCAGTGACTTGTCCTTCGGGTGTTTCTAGACCTGGGGAGGAATCTGAGCCAGGGCAGCGCGAAGAGGGGCAGGGAGTCGGGAGACGCACGGGGAAGAGACTCAGTTTCTGGACCCGGAGTCGGGTGGCACCGGAGCCCCGGGACGGCCGCGGGGCTGGGAGGGAGCGCGAGTGCCCCGACGAGGTAAGACCACAAAGTAAGAGGAAGAGGGGACGACAAAGGCGGGGAAAGGGAGGCGGCGCGGGCGGCGGGCGGGAGTCGGAGATAAAAAGCGGGAGGCGGAGCTGCGGGGCGGGCGGGGCGCGGCGGCGGCGGGAGCGGGCGAGCGGGCGGGAACCCGCAGAGCAGAGACGGCGCCGCATCCCCAGCTGGGCCGCCGCGCGAGGCGAGCGCCGGGCTCCGCGCCGCCCCTGCCCCCCGCGCCGCGCTCCTTCCCACCCAGCGGCAGGCGGCGGGAGGAGCCCCCGAGAGTTTGCAGCGGAGCGCGGGCAAGTTTCCTGCAGAAGCTCCGCTCCCGAAACAGCAGTACCTGCGGCGCCCGTTCGCCTCCCGCCCCGCGCCGCTCGCTAGGTAACCGCACTTGCTGTGGGGCATGTGTCCGGAGGGGCGGGGGGCTCACGATCTGCGGGGCCGAGATTGTGGGGCGCCGCCTGGCACCCACGATCGGAGCCGGGTGCGGTTGGGCGGGGAAGTGCATCTTCACCTTTCCAGGTACTTCGCCTCTGTTGACTGCGGAAGGAGGCATCTTTCTTCACCTTTCTACCCCTTCTCGTCCAGCACCCCACCGCCCCGCCAATACTTGAGCCCACTTCACGTCCATTCACTTTATTGGACGTGCTGGGGGCAGGGGTGTCCGGGAGTTGGAGGGGGTTCGAAGGGATGGAGGAGGAGGACGGGTGCCAGAACTTGTTAGCTCCGGGTGCAGGATTCCTGGGCGCTGGCAGGACACACTGGGCTCCGGATTCCGGTGCCAGCCCCCGCTGGGGCACGCCGGGTTGGAAAGAGGACACCAGGAGGAACAGTCTTGAGCTTCTGATGCCGGTTTATCCGGTCCTCCAGCATGTTTTGCAGAAAGATGAGCATTTCTGCTGTGATGACCTTTTTGCATGGATCCCAAACTCAGACCTTGCTAAGGCTGCCTTCACCGTGGGCGAGAAATCAGGAGAGTCGGAGCCCAGGTTTTCTGTTGCGAGGCGTGAAGTGGAGAGGGGCTTGACGTGGATTGGGGAGAGTAGGAGCTGGGTGGTTGTTTTGTTGCTGCTGCCTTTACTTTCACACGGTTACCTGCTCCCTCTTCTGCCCCGTTTGAACAGCCTGCCTGTCAGCAGGTTTCTGTTAGAAGGCTAAAAGGTGTTCTGTTTGATGCCTGTCAGGAGTTATTTCCAACTAAGTTCACAGGTGCGAAGCTGGAGCTGCCTTTCAGCCTCCCTCCTCTCCACGCAGGTCCACCCCCAACTCCCTCCCACAAGCAGACTGTTCTTGAATAATTCCCAGGGTTTTGAAAGCGATGGCAATAAATAATATAGAGTTGTGTTTGTGTGACTTTTTCTTTCCCTTTTTGTTATCAGAACCAAATCAAAACACTGTGGCTGTTTAATAGAACTATTTTTTCTTTCTTTCAGTTTTTATAGTAATTGAGAGTATATTATTGTCCTGGTGGGTGGCTCAGTTGGTTGGAGCATCGTCCTATACACCAAAAGGTTTTGGGTTCAATCCCCACTGATCGATGTTTCTTTCTCACATCCATGCCCCCCCCTTTCCTTTCCTCTCTCTCTAAAATCAACAAAAACATATCCTGAGGTGAGAATTAAAATTTTTTAAGTATTATTTCCCAATGTTTGTTTTTCTTCACTTTAACTTCAAACATTTCATTAATCTGTCTATATATAATTTTATCTGTATTGTTATTATTCCACTGGATTTAAAGGATGTGGGCTTCTTTTAGACTTGCATATACACACCAAATACAGTGTGACCGTATTTAATATTTATGTGTTCCTGATTCAGTAGCCTGGCACCTGCCAATTCCAGCGCATGATCATAACACCATATGCCTGTCTATCAATTGAGGATAAGGAGAATGTTATTGTTTTTCATGGGGGGTAGGATTTTATTATTATTTCTCAAAAGGTTTTTAAGGGCTTCAGCCCATGTGAATCAAATATACAGAGCAAAATTTCAGTTCTACCTGATACATTAAAAAAATAATTCCAGCCCTGGATGGTTTGGCTCAGCGATTGGAGCGTTAGCCTGCGGACCAGAGAGTTCTGGGTTCGGTTCCCGCTAGGGGCACATACCAAAAAATAAATAAATAAAATAAAAATAACTCCCATACTTAGACACTTAGAGTTGATTAGTTATTGGGGGGGAATTAAAATCCTCTTATCACACAGATAACATTTTTTAAAGAATTAACATCTTTATTATTGTTTCTTTATTGGCTTTAGAGAGAGAGGGAGGCAGAGGGAGAGAGAGATAGAAACATTGATGAGAGAGAACATCTATCAGCCCCCCACTGAAGACTGGGCCCACAACCTGGGCATGTGCCCTGACTGGGAATCTCACCGGCAACCTCTTCATACATGCAGCCTCTGAACCACACCAGCTGGGCACAGATAACATTTTGATTGAATATAGTCAATAAGAAGTAGTACACATTGAATACGTTGAGGAAACAAGAAGAATTTTCCTCTTGCCTTATTTGGTTTTTATCTCCTTTACTACATTAGCATCTTCCAGAAAATGAGCACCTTGCAGATAGATGCTGGTTTGCACTGACTACACACCATACTTTTTTAATACAGAGGCTTGGTGACAGTCCAAAAACATCAATGTTTTAAATCATTACCAACCATCTGTTCTCTCCCACTCGCTTGAAGTGCAATGTTTTATTTTCACTGGTATCAAAACATACATCCTCATTCCGTGCATTGCCATGAACATCCCAAAAGCTGTAATGGTATCTGATGTCGACCCAGTTTCAGCAACTGTTGTGTTTGGCTTATTACGCTAGAAACTCATCTCTTTTTATTTTCAGTGAAAGGAGAAGTTAAAAAAGTTTCCCAGCCTTTGGTCAAGACAGGTGTGTACTCCAGTGAAAGCTGGTTGCTTCCCCACCCCCACACACACCATATTGTTACCAGAGAGGAGCTGGGTTGAGCACAGCTGTAGCCTCCCCCCCCCCCCAGGACATTCCTTCCCTCTCAGTCTGGGCACAAGGGGAGTGTTGGTGCTCTGAAGCACCGCATTACAGCCCCATAACTCCAGAAAACTAGTGTGGTTTCCCGAAGAAGGGACTATCTTCCCAGGAATAATTTACAAAATAGGAGACCAATTTAATATTCCAAATCCCAAATTAAGTTGACCTAAGACATATACATCATTCACATACAAACATTGGATATGAATAACATAGGATCTTTTATGTAGGATGTGAATAAAATGTCTATAGAGTATTCTCTATATTCGTGTTTGGGAATCTGGGTGAGTTTATATACAATCAGCAGATAGATTCACAGCCTTCACTTGGTTCAAGTCATCAGTCAAGCAAGATTTGAGGTATTCAGTCCCACCCTACCTCCCATCATAGGATGTTTTCCCATTTAGGAATGTTTGCTAAAACTGCAATGTTAGGATATTTTCATTACTTAGAATTAAGTTGCATAATAAATATGTTGTTCCTTCACTGCAGCCAGAATGTTGGGAAACTCTTTTTATTCAAATCTGGATGTAATGTCCCAAAGAATATTCATAGTCTTGAAGAGAAAGATGTTGGCAAACTTGCCTACACTTTGCGAATCACTGATATGTATTTGAAGAATATCAAGAACCAAACTCTTCTGGGACTTCCCCCTTCCTATCGCTACACTGCTTTGCACTGCCCTTGTCTTGAAAGCCTACGATTCTCCTTACTTACTACCAGGAGAGCACTGAGTAAAATGAACCCAAACTATAGAACATTTTGAAAGTAAAGTTGCCTTTAAAAATAGGACCTAATGTAAACCCTTAGAAGTACACGAGGATGTGTTACATCTTATTTTTCTGTATACTAAAAATGAATTATTGAGGGGAAGGAGTTTCACCATGTATAGCAAGCACTCTGAATTATTCATGTTAATGAGCAGAAGAGGAGCATAGATAACCCCAATCATGGTTATTTAAAAAGTCGTTTGTGTTTGTCTTTGGAATGTATTACATGTTTGGTTTAAAATAGATTTTCATTGTTCTTGTGAGCAAGTTGACTTTCTAATTGTTTTGTTTTGTTCAGCTTAATTTTTAAATGAGCTTACATACCTCAAACACCAAAAACCAAAACCGATTTATAGGGAGGTGGAGAAGGTGGGCAGCTTGCCCAGAAATGAGCTGGGTGATAGAAATAAGCAAACTGGTATAACAACTGTGTAGTAGTAGATTGTATATAATTCATAGAAGGCTAATCAGGATTTCATTGTATATCTATTTAATGAATATGTGTCAAGAATTAGACATGTTCCCTTCAAATAAAGTCCTTTGATCCAACTATGAGAAAGTTGATCCCAATTTACACGTAACGGGTGACTAATGTTTTTAAAACATGATAGCAGGGTGTGCCAGAAAATCAAATAGGGGATTCTAATTTATAAATCTTACTATACTGAATTTTTAAGTCTGAAGTTGTCCTAAAGCAGACACCTGTGTAGGTGTGAAGGTGACATTTGTGAGCCTTACATACGTACTTTCCAAAAGAGGAAACAGCAGGACGCCATCAGAATAAGGAATTTGGTCCATTTGATCTCTGCACCTCTGCTCCAAAGCAAAGCGCTTTTCATCCAAGAGAAGCTCTCAAGTCTCTATTGTTACTGTGGACCTGGTTAGATAAAATAGTTGAAGTTCAGCAAGACTGCCAATTTAACAGATTTCTATTGTGTTTTTCCAAAGCTCCAGGGCAAAATTGGTTGTGGATGAAAGAGTCACTTGAGCAAGAAGTTGATTCACACCCTTGGCACTTGCTGTTAAACACCTTGTTTATCGTCAGCGTTCAGTTGTGTATAGATTTTGTTGCATTATGAGTTTTGTGAACTATTAGAAAGAATTTTAAAAACCTCTGCGGAAAAGGGTCGAGCTGCCAACAATATGTGATTGGAAAAGCAGATAAGATCATTTTTATTCAAGATTTCAAAGCAAAAAGTAAAACGGTGACTTCCACAGTAGTGAGCAGAATGGTAATAGAAAAGTAGATGTCGCCTTCAGAATGGGAACTATGTTCTTATGATAAATGTGCTCACTACTTCAAGTGTCTGGGTACTTCTTTCTTACGGACCCACTTTTATTGTTTGGTTTTTTATAGGCCATGGCATTTTTTAAAGATTTGACAGAGCCATGTATTTTAAACAGAAATATTGTGGTTGGAAGACCTGACACCCACAGGATATATTTTATATACACTTATTAGAAGAGTCAGTTTCTTCTGATCAGTGGTTAAGTCTTAGAACCAGAATTGTTCATTTTGTTATGGAGCTAGAAAAGACCTTAAAAGTAATTTATCCCAATGCCCTCATTTTACAGTTAAATGGGGGCCACAGTGATCCAGT